TAAAGTCGAGATATTATGACCTCCATATCCCCAGCGATCATACTATAAAATAAAAAAAATTAAGGGTGATTAAGACTAATCATCACAAAACACGATTAGACTTATATACCCTTAACAACTAAGAACAAAAATTTTCGAATTAAGGGTGTTTAGGACATTATAATAGAGATCAACACACGATTAGACTTATATACCCCTAATTACGAAGAAGGAGAAATTTCGAGAAGAACAATTCATTAAGGGTGTTTAGGACAAATCATTCTAACTTTTAACCACAGGCCTCCAATGCCCTAACTTTCAATATGGTGCGTTTCTACTTCTCAAATAATTATTGTAGAGATATGAAAAGATAAAAAGACACGTACTTATAAGAGAGTTGTGTTAATTACCATAATACCATTCATTTATTTATATATATTGAGAAAATATATTGGCTTTGAATCTATGTAAATTCACGACGTAAACTTACATCTGAAATTTTGATTAAAATGAATGATTTGACTAAGAAATTTTCTAAGAATCGTGGGACAATGCACCATTTTCACTTGTGCCGTCATATATACCACAAACACCATAGATTAGATTTCTAATGGCCACACCGTAATATATATACCATAAAATTATGATATAAACTTGTTTGACGATAATCTTTTATAAATTTTGAGATTATATTATTAAAAGTGAAATTTTATTAAAAAATAGCATATGCTTTATTATATTTGAATGTATGATTACTATAATTATTAAAAGAAGTAAAGATTGTTACTTTATTAGAAAGAAACTAATTACCTATGTTACATGGAAACGGAAACGGAAACGTGGAAGCGAAACGTTTCGGAAACGGGAAACGATTCTTTTCTAAAATTAGGGATTGGAAACATTTTGGAAACGTATACACATATATAATATATGTATATATATATATATATATATATATATATAACATTAACATAAAACTATAAAAATAGTTTAATTAAACAATACAAGTCCAAAATATCAAATATTAAATAGGTTAACTAAAATTCTAAAAGAAAAAAAGATTAAAAGGTTCAAGTTCAAATATTTAATTTAGACCAACATTTCCATTCTCATTTTCATTAGTTTCATCGTAGATCATATAAAGATGCCTCCAAATCTAATTTGTGGATAAAAAAATCTTAAAACTCAGAGTCTTCCAAAATTAGTGATAAGTATTACTCTATAAATCTTAATCTTTTCAACTTTTATTTATTAAGTTTCCAAAGTCAGTAAAAAGGATTTGTCGCGTTTCTATTTTAGAAACGTGAGTTTCTATCGTGTTTCCAAACATAGATTTTTAAGAAACGCGTTTCCGTGACGTTTTTCGTATTTCCGAAGAGTTTCCGTTTCCGAAACGTTTCGAAAACGGGAAACGGACCTCGAAGAAAGTTTCCATGCAACATAGCTAATTACAACATATATCCAAAAGTTTTTTTTTTTGTTAAAGATTTATCCAAGGAATTATGTTTATAACACTATTTTTAGTTTTTCATTTTGAATTAATTATCGTACTTTTGTTATTTAATTATGATAATTAACATATTGTTTTGAATTATTGGTCCTTACGAAAGATAGGATGAGATCACCAATATCACGGTTGGGGGAGTTGGGCTTACGCCGTGATATTCGAAATGTCTACAAAACTTAGGCTTTTTTGTTGAGCTTTTTTTTTTTTTTTTTGTCAACCGCTATTAATTAAGACTCAAAAGAGCCACTCCTGAGGAATGTTGTTTACATACGTGATGTGATGCGGTTCGGTACGAACATTTCGTGCCAATTTATCTGCTTTTACATTTACACTACGAGAAATTAAAAATAAAGAAAAATTTGTGAATTCCTCTTTGTCGCTATGTAACTCCTCCAAATACGCTGAAAATGCCGGCCATTCGGTTGGAGAAGACACCATCTTCATCAGGTCTGAACAGCCTGTGAAAAAAGCCACATCTTGGTTATCGGCACCTATCATGCACTTCATTGCCCAAAGAAGAGCTTCCACTTCGGTATGTAAGGGAGAGAGACTTCTACGCAGGTTTGCAGCTCCCATGGTTGGCGCCTCTCCATTAACTGAGGTACATACCCAGCCTGTACCTGAAAATTTATCACTTTCTTTCCACGATCCATCTATGAAACAACGATGGCCAGAATAAGAGGTATCCTGAGAAATATCCCTTACTCGAGGTCGAGTATCCTGAACCAACGAACCCAGATTTTCAGCATGTAGCTCGACTTGAGCTGCCTGCCACGAAAGTTGAGCTTTTCCTAATAAAAAAGAATTTCATATCTCTATACTATTAAAAGAGAAGTACAAAAGTACTTGGGTCGGGTTAAAATTGAAAAAATTTAAAAAATAACCCGTAAATTCATCAATCGGATCTTTGAGTATATATGCCAAAAAAAAAATTCCGAAAATAAAGTGAGAAACAATCATAAAACGGATGATGTGGGGTATTTATTCGGAATCGTATATATTTGGAATATTAATATTTATAAGGTAACTTCTTTGTTATAATTAAAACGGTAATAAATATGAATATATTGAGATAATTACTGGTATTGCCATTATCGTATATATCGTTGAGATCTTATTTTCGTATTTTCTATATTTAATTTTCAGAGTTTAATACTATCCATATTATTATGCGATTTAATTTTTCAGTTATTGTCGTCGTAATCTTTATTTAGTTTATTTTTTATTTTCTAAAATATATTACCGAATATTCAATCAATTATTTTATTATCTGTACTTCGCTACCGTTTTTTTCCACAAAATCCAATAGTACTTACACCTGCATAGTTTAAAACTAATTACACAGTTAAGACTTTTCCAACCTTAATATAAAAAGATTTATCATTTTTCAATAAAGCAAAAAAAAAATATAGCTATATAGGTAGCTTATTATTAGCTGCCACTATATCCCATGCATAACACAAGGAATCTCAAAACTTTTAATGGAAACGAAAAAGCTGAAACCAATTCATGCAAACTAAACCAATTTTCAGTTAATTCTATTTTAATTAATATGTAAATAAAAGCTTAAAATTGTACATGGGTAAATAAATGTAAATCAACACTAGCTTTTTGTTAATACAAAAGAACTAGATGTTAACCCGCGGTACACCGCGGGCCTATATTTTTACTAAATTAAAAAATTAAAATTTTTAAGATAATCTATAGATATATAGTATACCACATAACGATATTTTACAACTAAAAATCAAAATTTTAAGTTATATTTGTTTTGTTTAGTGTTTAAGATTGTATAATTATAGTTTGATTATTAATTCTAGGATTTTACCCGTAGTATACAATCCCGTATTAATATTGATCCAAATCCGTCCCACCATATAATCTCATCCCGTGAAATTAAACATCATTTTGTAATTTTCTTTTTAATAATAATTTTATTAAAACATTTCCTAAAGTATTATTTGGCTTTTATATGACTAAATATTTATACGAATAAGATACATGTTATTAAATTACTATCCCAAAGTTTAAAACTAAGTAAGTTTTATTAGTGGGATAAAATTTATACTCATTACTTATATAATTTATTATTTAATCTGAATATAATAAAGTTTTCTTTATTATATAATGGTTTGATAATGCTATATAGTGTTATATATGTGTGTTATAAATGTGTTAAAATAAACCAAAAAGACAAAATTTCGAAAGACAAATTAAATTACTCTAATTGTATAAAAAATAGTCAAATAATGTCTCATGCTTTACCTAAGGAAACAGGAAAAAAAAAAAAAAAAAAAAAAAAAAAAAAAACTCTGAAAAAGAAAACTAATTTATGTTAAAGACGTGTAATTATGTATTGGGCCTTAATTAGGCTTCACTTGTCTTTTCTGTATTTTACCCTTTTGAATTTTAATTGAAATATCTATGAAAAAAACAGAAAATGTTGCATTATAAAATAAAATAAAAATCTCTTTTGAGAACCTTCTCGTCTTCTTCAACCGTTCTTATACGTTTCTGATTTTGGAGTTTTTATGTAATCAAGCTACTTTCACACCCAAAAAATGTAAGCTCAATATGATTATTATTGCTTTGAATACAATAAAAAAGCAAACATGAATTTTGTCAAATCAAGTATAATATATGAAAACAGATGGATGATACTTTGTTCACTGTGTCTATTGCTTTTAGTAAAATGGTGCATTCACTTAATGCACCTTAGGCTAAGCTCTACTAAATAGTCAAACATAAGATCATTAGCCAAAGTGAAAGTGAAAATATAATAAACGTATATAAAACAAAACATATAAATTTTTTGAGTCAGAAATTTTAATAAAGTACTCCAGCAATGGCTTTAGCTGAAGAATCTGCCTATACAAATCAGCAGCTCTACTAAATAGTCACATATAAGGTCGTTAGCAAATTGAAAGAATAATAAACGTACGTATAACACAACCAGAGTTAGTCAAATGAGTAATTGCCTGTTTTTGATACAAATTGGTGTCTCTATGTTGGTCTTCATCTTTTGCAGATATTTTATACTCTTAATGGCTACAGTCACAAATATAAAAAGAGAAAAAGATGTCAAATATACTTCTTTTGTATAGCTTAGATATACACTTTGAAACATAAATAGTTTTTCAACTCACAAAATCTGACATTCCAAATCTGTAAGTGGAAAATCCATATTATATAGAAATTAACTTGTTACCAAAGCATCTAGCATTGAGAGTAGTCGTAACTCATCACCAACATGATCGACCACAAAGAATCTGCACACGAACAAAAAAAAAGTTAATAATATCCAAAGACTCTAGCGATGTATATGAACAAAAGAATTGATGAATATAAAAAAGGAATTGTATCTTTTTCCTCAAATTTCATAAAATGATTGACGTAGAAAATTCAAAATAGATTTATTTCTAAACCTATAAACAAAAATTCAAAGTTTAATCGAATCCAATTTCAAGAAATTAAATCAAACAACACATTAAGATTAGAAATTGGAAAGTTAAAGAATGCAACTGGTGTTTTGTGTGTTCAGAAGTAGTAGAAACAATCAAGTATTTATAGAGTTATGATAGGTTAGTAGGGTTTTGTGTTAGAGAATATCCAAAATCTTGATTAGCAAGGCGTTGATATATTCGAAAATCTTTAAATTATCACAAATCTAGAATATGCTACATATATTCCTAACCATTTTAGGATAATATCTTTAAATATCGTTTATCATGAGAAAATTTCCTAAATCTTTTAGGTGGATTGAATACGGAATTAATATAGTTCATTTTATTTAGGCAAGAAATGTGAATTGCAATTATTATATACGGTTAAAATCTGCATATTTATTCAGAGCATTAATATGAAAGATTTTTGCAATTAAAATCGGCTATTTATTAGGAGTATTAATATCAAAGATTTTCCTTTAAATTCATATTCTCGTAATAGTGCATTAATGTTTTACAATCTATTATAGGAATATAATTTTGATAAACCGTTCAAATAAAGAAAGGATCCAAATCTAATTATTTCGAAATATATATAGAGTAATTAGTTTCTTTAAAATCGAGATTTAAGCAATATTTTAGGAACAATAGTTGAGATAAAGTATGTTATAGTAATTAATTTAGATTGTGAAAATATTCGAAATCAATTTAATTTTTGGAATGATAAGCATTTAAGATAATTTCGAAAATATATGTATAATTAAAGAATTAATTTCGTTATGGTACTCGAATATATTAGGAATATTCGTATTGTTAGTTTATTTAATTCATAAATTATAATTTGCAGATTTAAATGAAGATCTTCTCGAGATTTTTAGGAATATAATCGAGATTTTAGTAACAAATGTGATCACATTAAATTTTCGAAAGATTTGAAAGATTTGTGTCCAAATTGTTAGAAACAAATTAGGATAGATAATTTTTGGTTAGTATCTTTTTTAATATTTTCAAATCTTTAGAATTAAACCCATTGACATTATATTGTTGAATTTATTTTTTAAAAATTACGTAATATTAAATAAAAAATTAAATAACTAACTATTTTCATTTGATGGTGTAGACAAATTATTATTATTATTTATGTAATTTAATTACAAATAACAAATATTAATTTTTATAACAAAATAAATTATTTTCGTATGAACAATTTTTTCCCAAATAAATATTTTACAAAATATTTATTTTAATCACATATTCTTTCTATATAGAAATAAATAGTTAAATAATTATGGTTAGAAGTAGTTAAGGTAAATAACAAATATGGTTAGTTTAGATATATTATATATATTTCCAATTTAGGTGTTAATTAAGAATTAATGTGGTTTTAAGACAACATTCCTAAAATTCTTTATCCAAGATCCGGATAGAGTTAAACCCGGGTAAAACCCGGATCCAAATGAATTAATGCAAAAAAACCCTGTAAAAATGTATATGTAGATACTAAATACCGATAACATTAAAAACTCAAGATCTTGCAAACAAACTTAAAGCATATTCCGATTTTTATCCTACATTAATTTTGTACATTACTTTTTCATATATTTTTGGAACTAATTCTTAGCTACTCAAATTTATGGTAACAAAAATTTTTATGGTAATTAACATACTAATAATTTGAAAATTTTGTAGATTTTTAGGAACGATGATGGTAAAATCTACATTATACGTTTATGATAATAACATGATTTAGGGGTTCAAAATTTTATTTTAGGAAAAAAATAAATTATTCGTCATAATTATTAGAGATTTTGAATATAGATTGTTTTCTTCTAAAAAACAAGTAATCAAATAATCTTCTTTGGCAAGTAAATTGAATATTGTAATCTTAAAATAATATATTTTACATGGGATATTCCTGTAAAATAGAGTTATTGTAACAATAATATCAAAAACTAAATATATACCAAAATTCCTGTATCTTTAGTTGTTTAACAAAACATAAATCGAATATTTTTTTTTTAGGAAACCCTAGCTTATCTAATGTCTATTTAAGAAATGACAAGGTCATCTTTTTCACTCATCCTCACAAACTTCTCTTAACATCTATGCTTCAGTTTTCGTGCAATCTAATTTCTATTTTTCATTGTGTAGTCTCTATTTGTTATTAATGATGTAAGACCATGATTATCAATAGGTTCTTAGAAGAATCTTAAGTAATAAAATATATTTAGTTAAATTGCAAATGGGTATTATTGTTAAGAAACGTTCCTTACCTAAGAGCCAAAAATGGCTGTAAGAGAAAACTTTTTACAAATTTATTATTTACATATTCCTAAAAGCTATTATTAAGAGCTCATTGATAATCATGCTATAATGTTTCTACGATTTTAATTCTTTCCGTATTCTTTGTTTGTTTTGATATACTACTAGATTTTAACCCGCGGTACACCGCAGGGCTATATTTTCTTAAAAAAATCAAAATGTAATTTGTTTGATAGATTATTTTGATTGTTAATTTTAGGATTTCACCCGTGGTATACTATCTTTTATAAATATCAACCCAAACCTGTCCCATCATATTACCCGTCCCGTGAAATTAAACATCATTTAGTTAATTTTCTTTTTAATAATACTTTTATTTAAAAGCTATATAATTCAAGTCAATTTAAAAATTTCTTTTAAATGGTTCCCATAAGATATATATACATATATGTTAAATTTGTATAGAGTTGAAATAATATTAATATTAAAAACTTTTTATATAATTTAAATATTATAAATATTTTTAAAAATATGCAATATATATTTTTTGTTATTGAATAAGAGGATATTATGTGTAAGAAATGTAGAAAATAAGAGTTTAATATTTTTATTATGGAGTCGCAAGAAAAATCTTTTATTTCTATACATGTTATTCGTTTATTAATAATAAAAGAAAACAAATCCTTTAAATTAGATATTAACTAAAATAAACGCACCATAATTACTTATTAAGTAACAACCAATAAATTTCACCAAAAAATAGGTAACAACCAATAAATTCTAAACGCAGTAATTAAAGAATGAGATATTAAAAAAAAATATCAAATAAGATATAAGAATCTTAAAATAATTGAATATCTAAATAATTTAATTGTTAGTGTCGATTTTAATGCCTTCATTAATGTGGATTTTTTTTTTTACAGAGAAATATTTCCTAAAGATTATCACATTAATGACTCAGAAAATTAAGGAAGATATGAATTTATGATTCTCGAAATCGTGTTGGTAATATCTTTAATTAATATTTTTCAAATTTAAATAATTAATGCCAATGGCATTCATCCGTAAATACATTCCAACTCCAGGATTTATTTGCTAAAAGTCATCCAAAAATGTATATATAGATGTTTCATACAAATGCGGGCTTAAGTATATGTTTTCCTATAAACACAATATTCTCCTTACTCCTAAAACATTCACTAGCAAGATTTCAAATTTCCACTTTCCGGGTAAATCATAACTAATATGACATATTTTAATTGTAACCAATTTATCATTTTTTCTCTCTATTATTCACTATGAATATTTATATATACCTACACAATTTTCTCTACTAAAAATATAAAATATTAAAATTAACTTAAAAATACTATATTTAAAAAATAATATTCTCCCGCGGTGTACCGCGGGTCCGATCCTAGTGAGCATAGAAAGATGTCATCGCTTGGATTTCTGGTTTTAATTTTGCATAAAAAAAAATCATTTATGTGATTAGTTAAGGAAGTTAAATAACAGATGGTTGTATAATATATTGATAGCGTTATTTGTAGTAAGAAAATAAATTTATTGATTTCATTATAAAACTAAATTTGAAAAATATTTGGTATAGTATCTTTCTACGAATCGTGGAGACAATATTGTAATTAATGCACCTTGGAATATGTAATTATGGTCATTTGTTCTGTCTCTGAAGTGACATATTCTCACATATTTTGGTGTAATGGAGGCTTATTTCATACAAATAAAATAAATAAATAAGTCGCCATATATACTATTGTATTATAAAATATCTTGTTTTAGCCTTTTTATATGGGGAATATTACGGATTTTGCTCTTTTTTATAATGACATTTATGGATTTTGCTATTTTTTGAATAATTTATAGATTTTGCCATTTTTTAACACTTAAAAATGTACGTATTTATGATTTTCTTTTTGCAAAAATACGTACATTATACCAAATACTAAACCCTAAGAACAACTGGAACCGACTAAAACCAAACATAACGAATGAAACGCATGTTAAATCATATTTTTGGAGTCTAAAAAAGGGCAAAATCCATAAATTATTCAAAAAAGGCAAAATCCATAAATGCAATTATAAAAAAGGGAAAAATCCGTAATTAATTCTTTTATATGCATGGAAAGGACAATATAAAACCCTAATGGTATTGGCAATAACATCATGTCAGCAAAAAGCGTTGCCTTATTTCTACTTTTTTTTTTTTTTATAAACCCTATCGGCTATCCGGTCGGCCCTGGTAGGAACGCACCGTGGTGCTACATAGTGGACTGGTCCACCGTGTTAACGGTTAGGCCTTTACGGGCTACCACTCTGCCTATCCCGAGTTTGGAATGCCTTCCGACTAAGTGCCAGGGGTAGTCAGGCCGCCTGCATTTCTGGCTACCAGGTAAACCAATTGGGCCAAAGCCCAACTGACAGACTTCCCAAACAAATGTGTTTTTGTTTCCAGAGAGAATCGAACTCAGGTTTGGGAGTTTCACCCTTTCCCAAAGCTTCTTCTGCCACTAGACCACAGATGCTTGGCCTTTATTTCTACTTACAATAATTAGAATCGCATGTAGAATATGTAGCTTTGTTTTATTTAGTTCTTCCTTGGTGATTATCATTCTCATATTCGAGATATCAATAGACATGTTCTTGATTAGGTTTATTTTAAATACTTGTTTTTCCTTTTTTTCTTTCTAATTTTTGTTGCGTTCTTTTTAATAGACCTCACCAAACTGTGCATACTTTATATATCATTTGCAACTGCTGTATTGTTGAATAAATTTTAAGCTTTATAATTTTCATGGTGCAAGAGACGCAACTTCTTCCTCATCGAGGAACCTTCAGGATCTTCTTTCTGATTCAAGTTTGTTTCCAAAAGCTCATCTTTATTTCAATTATGCAAAAGATTTTGGTTATTCAGAAACGTAATCCTAAGTCTAATTTTATTACAAGAAGATTATTATGATTTCATTTGCAACTATAAATTGTTTTTAATTTAGTTAACTACTAATGTTAACATTTATTTTCGTAGGTTAAATAAATGAGCTGAATCATTAAAAAATAATAATAATAATAATAATAAGAGAGTAGGTTAGTGCGTACCTCCGACGAGCCTCTGCTGCATTTACCAAATTGAAGAGTTTCCACAGGGAGATTAAATCAAATCAAACCAGTTTCATATGTTTCTTGCGCATCAAGCAAACGTCATGGTGGTTAGGATGTACCTTTTCCAGCGACTTTGACGGCTTAGGCGACTTCCCTGACACCTCCTCTATTAATAACCACCGTCGATATTACCTAGAGCGCTCAGATTTGACCGGAATTCTCTCCCAAAACCCCAACTTTAACCTGGAATTTTATGTGAAACAGTTTTTCCTGGAATCATAACCAGTGATTCTTCATCAACTTGTGTGATGAATAGCGAATGGACTATACCTCCGTTTGTCAATCTGTCAGTTGCTATGGCTTCCTTGCAGCGAGATGTATCTAGTGACGTCAAAATCTTGATCTAATTCCTGCGGATTTGACGGGAAATAAGTCTCCAAAACCTCTAAACTGTTATCTCCTTCCTCTCTTTCACTAAAAATGAGAAACTTTGAACTTAAACCACAAATCTACACGGCAGAGATAGAGACCACTAAGAGGAAGAGAAAAAATAGCGTTAGGATTCCTTACCCAAGAAGCCGGTGAAGACGATCACGACTCCGGTGATAGACGGTGATGAACGGAGTGATTTCGGTTATGGTGACTTTGCGTCAAGACAATTCTCTTCTCTCCCTCCCTTGGCGGCTTAGGTTACGGGTCTAAATGAAGAGGGAGATGTTTATGCTTGTACACAAATATGGCAACACACATGCTCAAAACCCTTGTCCTTTTTGAGGTTGGGCTTTATAGGCTGAAGCTTATCATTAAAAAAAAATGAAAGCCCATCTCTTGAATATAGAAGCCTAACTCCGTCAAGCGAAGCTCCGACGCAAGGCTTGAGCGGAGGGGAGATTCGTTACCGGAATGATTCATTTGTTTTGGTTTTGGAATATAATGATTAATCTCGTATCTTGGTCACATATGCTGATTGTTCTCCTTTGTCTGTTTTAAGGTAATTCAAGGTGAAGGAGCTTCCCCAGTTTGACATATGTGTGGCAAAACATTCCGTATCAGATATCATCTCCTCTCACTAAAGCTTATGGTTTATCACTATGACATGAATATGCATTATCCTACATTTCTAAGGAATCTTGATTATTGTCTGAGTTCATTCGTAAACAGAAAGAACTATTCTAAAACACGGTCATCACTAAACATTGAAATCAATTGTAAGGACAGAACAAGTTATGGAACAAATACAGAGAAGAGAAAGAAAGCTAACGAAAAGTTATCAAGAGAATAGGAAGCATAAAGAGAAGAACTAGTGGGATCATAAGAAGCAGCCAACCATGCAAAACTCCTAGTCTATTCAACGATCCTCTTAGATATATACAACCACATACAAATTTCTTAAATATAATTTAGGCACATACACATATATATTTGGGGCTTTTGCAAAAATGTCCATTTTTCAATGCCACTTTTAAAAAATGCCCATTATTTAAAACCTTATAAAAAATGCTCTTAAAAATATAAGATTTACCCAAATATGTATGTAACATTATTAAAACATACACAAACTTCATTTCTATGTATCTAAAATCTTATAAATACTTTATAAATACCTTATAAATGCATTTTAAATACCTTTAAAAACCTTTAAAATATCTTGTAAAACCTTTGAAAAACCTTAAAAATCCTTTAAAATAACTTGTAAAACCTTTAAAAACACCTTATAAAACCTTATAAATACTTGGATCGAGTCTTCAAGTAGTAGTTACAATCCATAAGTACCTTATAAACCTAATAAAACTTTATAAAAATTTCAGATTTAAAAAGGAGCATTTTTTAAAATGGACATCTAAAATGGACATTTTTGAAAAAGGGCACACCAAAATGAGTATTTTTAACAATTTCCCTATATATTTCACATGAGAAAATCCAAAGAGTATATCACAACTGGAATTGAAAATTCTCTGAAATTGTCTCCATAAATACATCACTTGTGACGGTGTGACCCCCTGCACCAAAATTACTGAATCACAAACATTAATTAATGTATGATGAATTAGACAGAGACACCCAAAAATCTATTCTACTTCAGATTTATTTTTCAACAATATGATTTAAACCGTATATCAAAATTAATCCCTTATTATTTTTTATTTTTAATTCCTAGTAATGTACACTAGGATTTAACCCGCGGTACATCGCCGGCAAAATTGTATTTTATGTATTTCATATAATAATTTATAACTTATTGGATTTTTAAATTGATGTTATAAAAAAAAATTCTCATTTAATTATTTTATATTATAATTAATATAGTTGAAATATGTGTACTTAAAAGTTCGTAGGTGTAGAAATGATATAGTGTTAATATTGGCAAGCATTTATAATCATGGACTATTATCATAATTTGATATTATTTTCTATCAAAAAAATTACCTCGCGGTATATTGCGGGTCGATTGTTTTTACCTAAAATTTTTAAATTTTAAGTTATATTTGTTTTGTTAATATTGTTTGGTTTGTTTAGTATTTAAGATTATATACTTATATTTTTATTTTTAATTCTATGTTTCACCCGTGGTATACCGTCACATATTAATATCGATCAAAACCCGTCTCACCATATAACTCCGTTTTGTATTCAGAACCATTTTGGTCCTTTTATAATATGATTCTGAACCATTGCCCAATTTTTTAAGCAATGTGGGACATTGTACACATATTTTTTCTTATCGATTGAGTAATATATTTCTGTTTTTAAAAATTTGAATCACATTATATGCAGAAAAAATGTATTATTTTATTAGTTATATGTAGTTTATATAAATTCAAAATAAATTACTTTAAGATCATATAGAAGTAAAAGAAGAATCATATATTAATGTGTAAATTAGGTAGAGATGTTTTAGAAAAATTTAGAAACAAAATCAATTTATTACCATATATCGAAGCCAAAGTTTCTAAAAGATTTTTTCAAAACTATTTGGTAATATTAATTAATAGATAAATATTTATGACAATGGCATTCTCTTGTTTGGTTTATTTAGTATTTAAGATTATATGATTATATTTTTATTTTTAATTTTAGGTTTCACCCGTGGTATACCGTCCCGTATTAATATCGATCCAAATCCGTCTCACCATATAACTCCGTTTTGTATTCATAATCATTTTGGTCATTTTATAGTATAATTCTGAACAATATGGGGCATTGTACAAAATAAGTTAAATTATTTTAGTTTTAAGTGTTAAATTTGTTTTAAATTATTTTAGTTTAAGTGTTAAATTTTAGTGTAATTATTAAATGAGTTTAATTGTTAAATTTGTTTTAAATTTTAATTTAATTATTAAATTATTTTAGTTTAAGTATTAAATTTTAGTTTAAGTATTAAATGAGTTCAATTATTTTAAATTTTAGTTTAATTTTAGTAAAAATGAGTTTAAGTGTTAAATTTTTTTTTTAAAGTTTAAGTGTTAAATTTGTTTTAAATTTTAGTAAAAATGAGTTTAAGTGTTAAATTTCTATTACGTGAAAACGTGCCGAACTTCGAACACCAAAGCTTACGGACCAACTAAGGACAGAATGCATAGGCGCGGTTTGTTTTCGACGTTTTTAAAATTGAACACTTAAACTAATTTTGAAAATATAATAGTGAAATTAGCATTGTTTTAGTTAGAAATCATTAATTATTTTCTTAAAGTTTAAGTGTTAAATTTGTTTGAAATTTTAGTAAAAATCAAATTATTTTTTTGAAAAACAAAATTATTATGATTTATGATTTTTTTAAAAAGGTAAGAAAGAAAAGATACCTGGTGGTCGTGAAATCCTCAGGAGTGGTGGTTGTTCTGAAACATGTTCACGTATCATCAATTCCCATTTTCAAATTTTCTAAGCCGTTCCTTTTCACTCTCCAGCAGAGTTGTCTTAAGGTTAATATCTTTCTCTGCCAATGCTATTGATTGAACTTCCAAGTCATGTTCTCTTTCAAAAACTAGGTCTTCCCTCTGCTTGATATCAACCTCCCTTGATTCCCAAGCCCAAGCCCGGCTCTTGCTCTCGATTTCAACTTCCACCAATTTGTTCTTACATTCCAATAACTTATTGATTCGCTAAGACATTCTGAATTAGTTATTTTTTTAAGCAATATGGGGCATTGTACAACTTATTTTTTCTTCATCGATTGAGTAATATATGTCCGTTTTTAAAAATTTGAATCACATTATATGCAGAAAAATGTATTATTTTATTAATTATATGTATTTTATATAAATTCAAAATAAATTACTTTAAGATCATATAGAAGTGAAAGAAGAATCATATATTAATGTTTAAATTATGTAGAGATGTTTTAGGAAAATTTAGAAACAAAATTAATTTATTAACATATTTGGAAGCCAAAGTTCTAAAAGATTTTTTCAAAAATATTTTGTAATATTAATTAATTGATAAACATTTATGACAATGACTAAAATGTACTTCGAAAATGTATTTTTTCAAAAATATTTTGTAATATTAATTAATTGATAAAATTCTCCAGGATTTATTTCATATTTGTACTTCAAAAATGTATATATAGACTAGATTTTAATCTGCGGTACACCGCAGATCAATTTTTTAACTAAAAAATTAAATTTTAAATTGTATTTTTAATGGGAGATTGACAAAAATAACATTAAAATAAGTTTTTCTTCCAAAAATAGCATTACATTTGAAATTTTCCACAAATAGTACTATAAAATTTAATTAAATATTAAATATGAATAATTAGTTTAATTAAAATAAATAAATAAATAAAATTGAAAATTTTCTGCCAAAATTCGCCAAAAAATTTCCACAACGTACAAATATTTTCCCGCCAAAATAATTTATCAAAATTTTCCCGCCAAAATTTCTTTTTTTTCACCATATTCTCGCAAAAAAAAAATCCGGTCTAACTTTTACCGCAAAAAAATCCACAAAATTCAGGAAGGATATCAAGAAATTCAAGAAGGGTTCCTTGAATTTCAGGAAAGGATTCCTGATAGAATTACACGAAATTTATGAAGGATTCAACGAAATTCAGGAAAGATTCCACATAATTTAGGAAGGATTTCATGAATTCATGAATTTCAGGAAGGATTTCATGAATTCATGAATTTCAGGAAGGATTTCATGAATTCATGAATTTCAGGAAGGATTCCACGTAATTCAGAAAGGGTTTCATGATTCGTTGGGTTTCACAATACCACGTAATAGAGATCTCTATTTTAAAGGTGTGAATAGATGGGTTGGAGTAGATTTGCCTCTAAAATAGAGTTTAGAGGCAAATATAGCGTTGGATTGGAAATGCTCTAAGAAGTGAAAATTTGTCCTCTTTACTCACCAAAATCCATTACAATTAAGAGACTACACAAAATCATAATTCTCTCTGCATAATTTTTTATAGGGAGATTTACTCAGATGTTATACATTTTATATGAAATTACCATAAACATACAGATCTTTTTTTTATTACTATCATATTTCGGGTATATTTTTTATACCCAGCGTGCCCCTGTTAAACGTTATAGGAAAAAACGTAATTACAAAGAATGCCACTGCCACGTCAGCAAAGCCGCGTCGCCACGTCAGAAATCGCTGACGTGTATTAATGAACTCAGCCGTCAAGCGATATAGCGGCAGTGACGGCTGAGTTACGGTATGTTGCGGCTGATTTAAGAAAAATGGCTGAGTTATGAGCAAACGGCTGACTTACGAGTATAACCCAGCCTGGAGTTACGGCTGACTTACTGAAATATGTCTGAGTTATGATAAAATGGCTGACTTTCGAGCATAACCCAACCTAAGTTACGACTGAGTTTTCACCCGATGGTTGATTTGTCAATTTTTTGGCTGAGTTATTGCTTCGACACGGCTGACTTAACTTTCTCCGGCTGGCTGAGTTATCAAAGACGGCTTAGTTATGGGATGACGTTACGGCTGATTTATGTTCGAGTGTCATAAATCAGCCGTAATGAGCTGGATTAACGGAAAACTCGGCCTTATTACGGCTGACTTAGTAGCGAAAGATTAATTACTAGAATAACATGCAATAACGGCCGACTTATTAAACGACACGGCTGAGTTAAATAGTTTTGGTTGAGTTACGACAGTAAACGGCTGAATTTGGCTGCCGTTTTTTTTGTTTTTTAATTACTGTAATAGTATTCATGTTGCGACTGAGTTAAAGTTTTGTTTGGTGGCTGATTTACATTTTCGTTTGGTGGCTTACTTGCCACTTTATCAATTAAAAAATGACGTGGATGCAACATTCCATGTCATCATCATCAAAGGACAAAAAAATAGGGCCAAATTTTTTCAACTCGTCTTCTTCACCTGAGTTTTTCACATCAACGGAACTTCCAATTCCTCATCGTCTTCCTCATTCTTCTTCAATTTCTTTCATCCTTCTCCCGATATGGTTGATCTGGTTCCGGTAATTGGGTATAGAAACATAAATACGTATTTAACACCGATGAAAGAGGGTGTAGAGTTGTGCAGATAGATGCGGAAACAACGCACGAAAAACTTGTAAAGTTGGTGCTCGATGATAAAGTTAGACGAAATGTTGCGCCTCTTATTGTTTTGCGGCAAATTTACATGTCACGGCTGAGTTATATGCTTAAGGGAAGACAAAAAGTTCGGTCAATTTACATGTCACGGCTGAGTTATATGTTCCAGGGAAGACGAAAGGTTCGGTAAAATTACATTACGGCTGAGTTATATGCTTAAGGAAAGACGAAAGGTTCGGTCAATTTACATGTTCCAGCTGAGTTATATGTTCCAGGGAAGACAAAAGGTTCGGTAAAATTACATTACGGCTGAGTTATATGTTTAAGGGAAGACGAAAGGTTCGGTAAATTTACATGTCACGGCTGAGTTATATTCTCCAGAGAAGACGAAAGATGGGTGTAAATTATATGTTACGGCTGAGTTATATGCTTTAGGGAAGACGAAAGGTTCGCTAAATTACATGTCACGGCTGAGTTATCATTCAAGGAAGACGAAAGGTTGTGTAAATTATCTGTTACGGCTGAGTTACATCACGTTACGGCTGAGTTACATCACTTTACAGCTGATTTATAATAAAGATCGGAAAGCAACATTTTTTTGGAGAAGACAATATGAAATTTATTGGTCAAATAACAACAATTAAATTAAGATTAGTAAAAATATGTTCGAGAGATACATAAGTGGAAGACTAAAAATTATTAAATGTGAGTTTGAGGAATGTGAGATTGGTGATGTGGATTAAATGACATGGATAATCAAATTTTTATTTACTATTTTTAATTAAAAACAAATTAAAAATTATTAATTAAAAAAAAAATTAATGAAAAATATTAATTGTAATTACACAAATGCTCAAAACATATAAGTAATTTTTAAAAGATATATGATATTCTAATAATAAACATACTTTTCTATAACAAGTAAATTTTTCTTTTTTATATGTATCAAAATCTTCTCGGTCGTAACAAGTCAGCGTTTTACGTTGACTGAAAATAAAACGAAAAACTTTTCAAAACGGTCTTTCTCCGTTACTTCAACTCTCTCAGATTTTCCTCTCAATCTCTCCAATGTCGAACTCGGCGGGATTAACGATCTTCGACGGTGATCTTCTTAGATCCATCGATCTCAACTTACCGGAACTCCAATACGGCGTCACCGGAGCTCAGCTTCTCGAAATCTCTGAATCTAAGGTTTCTCAATCTCTCTCGGGACTCTCACTACCGCCACATCTCAAAAACGCAGCGATTTCTCGTGTTTCCGATGGAGATGACGTCAATTTCCGACGAACGGAGTTCAATCAACAACAAGCTTCTGAGAAACTCGGAGTTTTCTTCTCCGCCGTTGCCGATGCTCTTAAAGGTACCGTAGAATCGCTTCAGATAGATGGATCTGTGTGTGATTTTGATTGTTGTTGTTTATGAAGATACGGTGTTTATGTGATTATATAGAGACTCCAATTGTGGTGTCAATTTTGGATGGGACTATGTTGAAGATGTTTTTGGAGGATGAAGATGATTTTGCAATGTTGGCAGAGAATTTGTTCACTGATTTGGATGAAGAAGATAAAGGAAAGCTTTGTAAAAGCGAGATACGAAAAGCTCTTGTGCATATGGGTGTTGAAATGGGTGTTCCTCCACTCTCAGGTTCTGTTTGTTCTTTCTTTGCTGTGTTTTAGTTTGCATTCTACAAGTTACAATCTTGTTCATAGTCACGGAATTGTACCCGTTGCGCGAGAGATCATGGATTCCTCTGTGAGCCCTGAAATTAACCCTTTTGAAATCAGTTTAGACCAGAGATTTTTCTAGCAGTTAACATAGTTTTTAGTGTTGCATCAATCTTGTATATTATGTCATGTGTTTCTGCATTTTGGTTTATGTGGTTTAGGATTCAATATTCTCCATTAGTTTTGTTACCTTCGGATAATTTCTTATTGGTGTTTTAACATAGTCGGGCTTGTTTGGAACAGAATTTCCCATCTTAGATGACATTGTTAAGAAGCATGATGCTGATGGTGATGAAGAGCTTGGACAAGCACAATTTGCACAACTATTGCAACCAGTTCTACGAGATATAGCAGATGTCCTTCATGAGAAACCAATAACCATTGTCCAGAACGTTGAGATTTTCACTGGATCAAGGATTCATAAGGTTAGTTTGTTGGTATTTTGAAGAGGATAAAAAAACAGAGTAAGAGATAAGACTCTTCTAAAGAAGAAAAGTAAACGAAAAAACTTTTTATTGAATCTGAAACTTGTTGGTTTATTACAACAACACTCATTCACTTATATACATGTCGTACGGTCGTAACCGTTCGTAACTTGTGGAAACCGACAACTTAATAACACAACTCATTAACACACACCCGTTAATACACATTCATACATATATTAATATATGTTAAATATGTGACCAAACTTAATTACCACTAACACTCCCCCTTAATTGAGTTTCTGTCTATACCCAAGTTTGCTTCTTGTTCCTTCTCTTCACAACCTTTTCTTCTTCCTCTTGTTGTTGTCTTTCTCTTTGTTGCACAATATGACACTCTTTTGTCAATTGTATTTGTTTTCTTTTGACATAAGAGCTCTTGGAATTTTTCTTTCCCGCAAATCTTTTCCATGTCATCTTCAAGTTTACCATGACCTTTTTTACGATTTACTTGAAGTCTCCATGACCTTTCCTCATGTCTTCTCCGGGATCTTTTATCACGGCTGTTCTTGCAACCTTCTTCCACTCCCTTTCTCTTAGGTGAGCCTTCTTCTTATTCCCTTTTGGTGACCTCTTGATCACCAAATTTGTGATCCTTTGATCACCATCACATCTCTGTGACTTCTTGTGCGTGAATCTTCTCCACGTCTTCTTCGATTGTCTCTACAACAACCCAATGCTTCCTTTCACTCTTAGGTAAGCATCTCTCCTTTTTGCTTGGTGTCTTCCTTTGATCACCATCACGTCACGTAGACGCCTTGTGCGTGAACATCGTCACATCTTCTTCGGTGTCTTCTTTTGATCACCATAACGTCTCCATGACGTCTTGTGCGTGAATCTTCTTCACGTCGTCTTTGGTTTACTCTTCAACCGACTTATGCTCCATTTTCCTCCGAGGTAAGCATCCTCTTGTGCTCCATTTTTCTCCGAGGTAAGCATCCTCTTATGGTGTCCTCTTTTGATCACCATCACATCTCGATGACGTCTCATCAGTTCCCTTGAACCTTTTTGCTGAGTAGCCTTGCACTGTTCTCCCAACAGAAGTTTACTCCATGTTGCAGTGTTCTTCACAACTCAACAACACCTTTTGATACTAAGCCTTGCCCTGTTTCTTACAACAGGCGGCTTCTCCGTCTTGTTTCACCAAGACCTCTTTGAACAAAGTTTCAGAATTCTCCTTCCACAACTCCAAATCCACATCCGTTTTCTCCATTGCCTTTAGAGAAGATTTCCTATCTTCTTCATCGCTTTTGGAGCCTTCCTCTTGAAGGTACTTCATCTGAATGTGTTTGTGAAGGCTGATGGTACTCTCTCTTGTTACCACCTCTTCTTGTTCTTCCTTTTCTATTACGTCTTCTTCTTCTTCTTTTTCTCTTTTTTTTTTTTTTTTTTTTTTTCTCGGTTTCTAACCGTAAGAAATGTTGGCTCCATCTTTCTCTTCTTCTCGCAGCGGAATTCTTCTTATCTTTGTTTTACTTGGACAGGCTCCAAGACCAAATAAGCTCTGATACCATGTTGGTATTTTGAAGAGGATAAAAAAACAGAGTAAGAGATAAGACTCTTCTAAAGAAGAAAAGTAAACGAAAAAACTTTTTATTGAATCTGAAACTTGTTGGTTTATTACAACAACACTCATTCACTTATATACATGTCGTACGGTCGTAACCGTTCGTAACTTGTGGAAACCGACAACTTAATAACACAACTCATTAACACACACCCGTTAATACACATTCATACATATATTAATATATGTTAAATATGTGACCAAACTCAATTACCACTAACATAGTCCACTCTCTTTTGCTTAAGATACATGCAGTTTCAACGTATGTTTGGATTTTGTTTTGACCAACTCGATCAATAATATTTCTCAGATTCTGGGAGACGAGAAGAAACTCAAGTGTCTTGTAGAGAAAACGATTTTGGAAGAGTCGAACGGAAAAGGATGGGTAAAGACTTTGATAATAAAGAATGGAAAAGAGTTGGGATTGCCTCCGTTATCTTCAGATAACGAACAAGTGGCTCTTCTCTATGAGACCATATTTTCTCAGTTGAATAACAAAGAGAAAGAAACCGCTGATGCTTCTACAAAAGAGGAGTTTATGGATGCTCTAAAAGACATACTCAAGAAATTTGAGGACCTACTCGAAACCACACCGGTTTATTCTGCTACCAATCTCTAGAACCAGCCATTCATCTCTCGTTAAAGAGAGAAGAGAGAGAGAGAGCTTGACATAATCTCCGAGCTGTATTATTGTATATCTGAAAATATCAGTCACACACACATTATCTCTACCACTGAGATATGCACATTATGCATTTTGAAGTATAAATGGTATGTATGATTATATTTATGAATACAGCAATTAGCATTTGGAACGGCTAATGTTGAATAAGATGATTTTCAGACTGATGGAATTTCAAGATATTCCGATCAATCGGAATTCCGAATTCAGAGTTGCTAATTAACATTTGTATATTTTGTATATTATCTCAAACTCTCTGTAAATTTTCTGTTACCATTAATCGATTTCACATTTCATCTTAAAAAAATAACAACAATTATGAATTTTGACGTTTTAGGTTGACATCTATATTTTACACTTGGAAAACAAAAAAAAAGAAAGAGAAGAAAACGGAGCTGTCGATTTGGACATGCGCATTTGGATCTTGACAGCCCAATTGACATCCCTACTTGTAGCTAGTGTATGTTTCCGATGATCGGAAGCTTTGCTGGACCCGAAGGAAGATTCTGTTTCGATTTCTTCATCTTCTTAGTATAGATTGACGTGAAGAGAAAGCGAAAGGATAGATGCAAGAGGAAAGATAGAAGAATCGCCAATATTTTCGTCCTTTTGTTTATTTTTGAAGATGAAGATACAAAACAACAACGTTTTAGTACAAAGTTACGTGTTATATAAATTTAGGATTATTAAATACATGATAAAAAAACGTATATAGTAAAAATATTAGTGCATCCAATTAAAAAATATCATTATAAGCTATGACTACCTAAATGAGATATCTAACAAATTGAAATATAGAGAAAGTAAATCAAATAAAGGAAGAATAAATTTGTAGTATCCAAAACGTTTGATTTCTATATTATAATTGACCTTTATAAGACATGGACATGTGTCACCTTTTAATTATGGCAAAAATATTCCATTTAAACAAAAAACAGTTAGTTATTTTGTATTTCCAATATAAATACATAAAAAAAAATTAAAAAGGAAAATTTTTCTAAATTAAAGGTCCTAACACTTAAATAGAAACTAAAGAAATATATTAAAAAAGATAGAAAGAATAATCAAATAAAGGAATTGACCAAAAGAAAACGAATTTTAGTACAAAATATTTCACTTACATCTTTTAATTGTAAATAATAACACCACAATCTAGACATGGACATAGGGCAGTTTTTCATTTTTTTAAATTCAGTCGGGTAATTTTATATTTCACAAAAATATATATTATATATTACATAAAAATGGAAACAAATAATTGTACATTTACTAAGTTTTATCCCATGTCATGCACGGGTAGCTTCGTTATATAAAATATTATAAAGACTATTAGAAATATTTCTTATAATTAAAAAGATTATATAATATATTTTGATACGTTCTAATAATATTTAGTAAATATTTGATTAATAGATTTTAGAATTTTAATCAAGTATATATTTGGTGTTAACAAAAAAAAAAATTCAAGTATATATTTGGTGTATTTATTTGGTAGATTAGAAATTAGTATAAATATAATTAGTAGATTGACTATGAGTATATCATAGCAATGGCGATGAAGACATATAAGTAGCAATGGCTATGAAGACCTGTAAAATACAGTAATTATATGAAAAAAATCACTAACCACCGCAACGAGAGTACTTATAAAACTCATCTACTTTCATAAAATTCTTTATACTTGATATGTTTATTGGACCTCATACCAATAAAGACCTATGCAATCGTTGGGCCCTGTGCTATGTTAGATGGATACCAGTCCTCATTATGCTGTGATATAAATGGCCAGGGCCGGCTCAACAAATTATTGGACCATGTGCTATGTTGCAATTTTTTTTTACTTGATGGCCTACATGTTTAACATTAAAAAAATTAGATCCTATTTTGTAATTATTTGAACAATTTGGACCTTAAAATACAAAGAAAAAAAAATATTATATATGAAAATTGGTCAACTTTCTCTATCTTTTCGCCATGTCAACTCACCAGAGAGTGCCACATGTCCACAACTGAATCACTAAAAAATTTTATTCGCTTCATCTTTATCAGTCATTTTCGTCTTCTCCGTACGTTTTTATCGGTTTTATAAAAACAAAAAAAATAGAAACTGATTGGTGACGATTTGTTTTCCTCGGTCTTACGATTCACCGGTTTTATAAAAATAAAACCACATAATATACAATTCGGCTTGGTTCGATTTTGGTTATTTTCAGTTTATTCCCTAATTTTGTTACAAAAAAGTAACATTAGATTTTATATCTTGAATTGTATCATTTTGATTCAAATTCGATAAAACCATGAGTACATTCCAACATAGTTTACCAATTAAATATTATACTTAATATTATTATGAAATATATCATCTCTCAAAGAGTTTGATTTTCTTTTCTCCAACATGCATGTATTGATATAAACATGCTTAAAAATATTATTAGATTGAGAAAAGTTATTCATCTAACTAATATTACTAAAAAGCTTTTTGCAAAAATAATTAAAAGCCAACCAAATAAATGTTATTATAATAATAAAATTTAAAGCAAAAAAACGAATGGTTTTAAACCAAACCGAACCGAAACCAAAATAATTTAATAATTATCGCCGAACGGGTTTTTGGAAGAAACCAAAACCAAAACGAATCATATAACTACGGTTTGGTTCAATTTTTCGGATAAGATTTTTTTGCCACTCCTAGTTTATTACTGCGGAGATAGGTTTATAATTTATTTATATCGATCAAATAAATTATAAAATAGGAAATACAGTGGATAAAAAAAGAGTATTTATAACACTAATAAAACAAAATTGATCAATAAAAATATTCAACATTAATTTAAAATAAAAATAAAAAAAGCCCGCTCGTAGAGCGGGTATTGACCTAGTAAAATTAAAAATAAGATTATGTGCTCCTGTACACTCAACACACCCCAAGAGCCGGGCCTGCAAAAAGCCATAGAATAGCCCAAGAAATGATAGCACTGAGAAGAACCAAATAATACTTCACCGAGGACATATCATACCACATCCAATAAAAGTAAAACATGCGCAGTAGAAAATTACCAATTAGATCCACAAGCGAAGACATTCTCATTTGCAATAGATTATTGTTAAACTGTACTTAATTGGTTAATAGAGAAACTATAGCGTTAAACCAAAAGTGGAAAAGTGATCAAACCCACATGCAACTCCAATACTACTGAGAACGTCACTTGAAGCAACTCCAAACTAAGCTACAAAAATCTACTTTCTTCTCAAAAATTGAGAATTTCCGGTAGATTACACCGGCAAATTAGATAATTATTTTGGGAAATGGTCATTCTGATTTTTTTTTTCTAGTGATTCCTCTCATGGAAGAACACCATTGGCGAAGTAAATTGTAGTTGACGAATTGTAATTATAAACTTTGTGATGGATCAAGATGTTTAATTGGTTAAACTATGAAATAATAAAATGGACATCTGTCCTTCAATTAAACCAAACCAATTTTAAACTAAACGATTTTAATTTTTGATGGACTCGGTTCACCGTGAACCAAAAGAATCAGTTTAGAAATTGGTTTGGTAAATGGTTTAATTGAAGAAACACTCTTCAACGGTCAAATCAAAACACAATCGAAATATATAAATCGCGTAAGCCTTGGACACCAAGAGTCTATTTAAATTCACAAAAATATCAGTTTGGATATCGAAATTTGACCGTTGGGCTCTCAGAGGCTCTACCAAATTCTAACATCTCCGACTCCGACGAAGAAGTTGAGAAGCAGTGGAAAAGTTAGATCGTGGAGCCACCGTTGTCGCCGATCTCAGCGAAGTCGTTGGAGAAAGATCTAGTGGAGTAGGAGGCGATGTTGGAGAAAACAGACGATTTTCTGAAGGAGAATGGATGATATCCTGAGGAAGAAGAAGATGAAGAAGGAGAAAGTCTCGACCGTGTTCGACGGAGATGCTAGATTGGCGGAGGAGCCGAATTACAAAGAATTCCACGGTAACAATACTCGTGATTCTTCTCTAGATATTCGGAGGCTAAAGGTTATTGAGATTTGATTAATTTTGTAGAGTCTTTGGAATTGAGTTTTAGGTCAATTCGCGGGGAGTGAAATTGCCGATTTTCGAAGAGGATATCAGCAATTGAAGATTCGATTGATTACAAAATCGAGGATTTGAAGTAAAACCCTGAAAGTGGAAGCTTTTGTTTCTCTGATTCTGGAAAGTTTCCAGTATCCATCCTCTTGATTAAATTCGTATCCTTGCTTGTTTAGGGACGCTAATTGTATATCTAAGAAGATTCTTGGATATAGTTATGGTGATGCTTCTTAAATCCGAAAGAGAAGCAGACGGTCTCTTTGGAAAGTTGTGATGTAGTGTCTCCCTAATCAGGTTTCTTTTCTGGATTGTTGTCTTAGTAGGAACAAGCTGGCCACAATTCTTGAAGAGGAAGAAGCGAGATGGAGAATGAACACCAGTAAGATACTATTTTCATTGGTCAATGGAGAAACATTATAACGGAGAACAGCCGTTGCAGCATACATAATCTTGAACCTCTTTCGTCTATATACCTTTAGTTGGTATGATTTTGATGATGACATGTAAATTCTAGCTTTACAGAATCTCATATTTCTCATGATTTGTGTGATGCAGGATAAGCTGAAAGGATACTCAAGCCAATCATAAGGATGTTATATGTAGAGACAGTATCAACATAATCAGTAGATTTAAATGTCTGTTATATTCACTTTTTAGTTTTGCATAAAGTGTGGATACTCTTTCACTGCCAACTATTAATACGTCTTTGTCCAGGTTATGATGGAACATCAATACCCAAGCTGAGGGTTACTACTGTATATTTATTTGGTTGCAACATGAGCTGAAATTCATTTGACAACAAGAAGGAGGATTTTATCATGCATCAGTTGGTTCACGCATTCAAATAAGTTCCTTGAATCCTTTTTACTGAATTAGTTTGTGTTCCTTTCACCTTTATCACGTCTCTGCAAGCAAGAACCTCGAAGATACTCTCCACGAGTTTCATTACTTATATATTATTTTTGATCCCATGATATGAGTTTCCTGACAAAATTACTTGACTAAGACAACATGTGATCGGATTGTGCAGAAAACAATACCTTTCTTTGTATTACACGGAGAAGCAGATACAGTGACGGATCCAGAGATAAGCAAAGCCCAGTACGAGAAAGCTAGCACGTTTTGGTCTCTTTCTTTTAATGGTCCTCAGGTTTCGTCTCTTTTTTTTATACCTATATTACGTTCTTGATTTAGGTTATAGATCTGCTTTAATGAGAAACACTTGTACTCCGATCATGTGTCTTTCTTCTGTCAATGCAGTGGTTTGGAGTGTTTGGTGTCTGATTTGGCTGCTTGAGCGTTGATTGAAGATTGCAACATTCTCTTGTGGCTATTTGTGGTTTCAGGGGTTTTACTCGTTTCCTATTTTTGTATACCTACTTCACTTTAGTTTTGTAAAGTGTTTATAATTTACCCTTCTGCTGTAGGATCAGTCTAGCAGTGGTAACCAAGGACCAAGGCAAAGGGCTGCTGCTTTAGCTGCCTTTACTTCTCCATTTAATTTTTCTTCCGGGAAAACAAGCTCTCCGGTAAACAGTATAAGCTCATTTTTTTTTGTTTCTACTAGATTCTTTCTAATAGAAATACGAAGATATTGATATATCATGTGAACTTCCATGAAGGCTATGGATCTCATGTTCAATGAGGTTCTCTGTCATGGAAATAATATATTAGTGGTTAAGGCACATATATGGCTGAAAACTGGTTGTGCTTACTGCTTTTCATCTTAGGCACAAAACGTAAATCTTAATTTTCATTCTCTTGTTTCAGTTGATGGCTGAAGAGATAGGATAGGTGGTTAACGTTGACTATTTCAGAATAGCCGAGAGAGAAGCAAAGTACAGATCAAAGAGTGCACAAAGAAAAGAGGTCCAATGTTCCTCTCTCCCTGTACTTTTTATTTATACAGTTGTTTGATGCTACAATAACTTTTAGGGTGGTTTAAGTTCTGGTTAGAAAAATAGAATGACAGAGATCAAGATGAGAATTTAGAAAAATTATCCATTGTTTTCTTATCAGTTATCAAGATGTGTGCTTATTTTAACATGACTTTAAACCTCTTGCTTTAGGTCGTTTAGGAGGATGGTTTTGTATTAGTTGTTTCCTGAACTCTGTTTAGTTGTTTATTTATTTTCTAATATTTGGTTCTTCATAGTTGATAACATAAGTTACTTTTATTTACTTGTGTAAATGATTTCTTACGTAGATGATTTGACTCCATTATACCTTTTTTTTTACTTCTGAATTGGGATTTGATTCGTCTCCTTTTTATTTGTGAGTTACTCCTTGTTGCAAGCTCTGTTTGAAACGAATCAACTATTGGATCAAGACTGAAGATGAGAACCTAATTATGTAGCTGCAGAGGTTTATTAAGTTGGTTTTTCATTTGTTTCTCAGTCTATGTTTACAACTGTCTTTCTTGATGTTATAGTGCATAGACATGCTCGAAGTTGTTACATTTTGTGGTGCCATAGAACCAGAGCTTTTGCAGGGGAGAAGAAGTGGAAGATTACTGAGATCAAGTCATGATTAGAAGAAGCTGATGTCTTGGTATTTACAATCAACTTGCTTAATGTTTATACCGTTCTGTTCTAGTTTTAAAACTCAATATATTCTTCTGTGTTTTGTTTTGTAGATCTGGAAAATGGATCTTGAGGCTAGAAGTTTGCAGTCAAGTGCTAAAGCTGTATGTCTTTCTAAACTAAAAGATCGTAAATTGATGGAATTCAAACGAGCGTAAATCGATCTGAACCAATTGAAAAAGGAATTCAAACGAGTCTCGTCCATGGCGAATTGATGGAATCCAGAGTGGCGGAGGTAAGCTTATGTGTCCTGAGGGACCTTTTTTTATTTGTCATCTTCGCACAATTTTTTAGATGGCAGAGGCGTTTTTCCGATTGACTTATTGTCCTCGTTCCAGGTATCTGCTGATCAGAGAGGAAGATTGGCAATGTCAGTGAAGAGGCTTGACCAATCAAGAGACAGAGTCAGGGAGATTAGAAGACTAATGCCGGAGACAGAAGAGGTTGGAATCTTTGTTTTCCAAGATCTTAATCAGCAATGCCAAACCCTTCTTCATGTGCACACCAAGGTACCGCAATTACTCGAGTTGCTTTTGGTATCTATCAGTGCCAATGATTTACTTTCATCATGGGAGAAGAGTCGAAGAAAACTTCCACAAATCACATTTTTCAGGTTCTGCACCTGAATCTATGACATTTACTAACTAAAAACAGCAATTTTTCATCAAAACTTTGAATAAATGTACCCTATAGCTAAAGTTCTTGATAACATCTTCAAAGGATTTTACTTAACCATATGAAAACAGTATGTCTTTGAGCATAATAATCTCCTCTTCTTTGGTTACAGGTTGTGAAAATTGATGGGCATGTGATTGGTGACGGAAAAGTGGGGCGGGTAACAAGAACACTGCAAAACGCTTATAAGAAAAGACAGAGGATTCTGGTGTGCCAATACCTACTTACAAAAACCTTGAAGTACAAAACGAGAGGTAATCAAAGTTGCTAAAATTTGCATCTATCTAAGAGTAGTATGTCAAACTTTTTGGTTATCACATGCAAGAGTAGATTAAAGATTTTATATTTCACATGATTCAGGATTTATTCCGTTTATTCAGGTTTTGAACACGAGGGAACTCAACCAAAAGAAGCATTCAACGTTCATATTCAGGTAATGCATTGAATTTAATTTAATTCTCATAATTTCATGACTAGCTTTGGTTTCTATGAAATGCATGCATTGCCGCATCCTACAGTCCAATTTCCCTACAATGTATCATTTTTGCTTTCATCATCTCTATATGAACAGTCTAAGCTCGTCCATTTTTCAGCAAAAATGAATTTAGTGTTCACTTTCCTAATGTTTAGTATCATTGAACCCATGTCAAACATTATTACTTATCTTAATTTTGATCTGCCCACTCCTTGTTAGTTACTCATGGATCTGGACATGTGCTCTCATGTTCTTTATCTCTCTTGTGCTAGTTTATTTTTGATGTGAGACATACAGAAAGCCTGAGAGGATTTGGATTCCAGGATCATATGACACCTTCGGAGCAGCTCTGGTATGTAATATGAGAAGTGGATCATCTTACTATTGTGGTAGTATCAAGTATGCACCTGACTAGCTTGTGTTTAATTGCTTCGTGACTGAGTCTAATTGTGGTATATATGGCCTTCTTGATGAAACAATAATGTCTACCTGAGATTTTGGATTCACTAACCATTAATTCATGAACATAGAATACCCGTATTGAAACTAAGATATATGTCCGGGTACTGATCTGTTGCTCGTTTCCATATTCCTGGCTATTTGTTTTTTTTTCCCTTATTCGAAACGTCAATTTGTTGAATGACTCTTCAGATGGAGAACTGCATCTCACTCCGGGATCTGAAAGCATCTAAACTTTCTGGAAATGTTTTAAATAGACTATTCAACCTGAACAAATTCATGGCGTCTGAAACTTATTCATTCGCCAGGTAAGTGTAGCTTTTCTGTAGAGTTTTCCACCCTTTGGATATTCAATACGTGGTTTAATAGCTGTTGAAACTTATTACTATACTGTATATTTATTTGGTTGCAACATGAGCTGAAATTCATTTGACAACAGGAAGAAGTACTTTGACATGGGTCACTTGGTTAACGCATTCAAATAAGTTCCTTTTGAACACTTTTTACTGAATTAGTTTGTGTTCCTTTCACCTTTATCACTTCTCTAATTTTCATTATTGTTTCTTTTAACAGGTTATCGGTAACTGATTGATCAATACTTGTCGTGTCTTGGAGTTGGCCGAATCAATATCCTTTTGTAATGTTTCCTTTCCTGAGTGTACCTGATTGATCAATACTTCTTTTTATTGGCTTTTATTTTCTCATTAAAAAAAAAAAAACTAAATAAGTTAGTTTTTGTTCAGGCTCTATTATGGTACCATTTTATAACCTTTCTGATATTAATGGGTTGTGAGGACTCCAAACAATTTCTAATCAGGTATTTAAGGATTTGGCTACTTCTTTCTTAAGGTATATCTCATTGATATTGTTAGCAGAATCTGCTGTTAGTATCGTATTTTATTGTTATGATTAGTTGCCTTTGGACTTTTGAGGTAGCCCTCAAAGTTTGATTACATGTTGTGATGGATTTCATCTATTTAGTTTATGGCTTTATGTATAACATGTTGAATTTAGCGACCTAACTTTTGTTTTCTTCGGACTTTAGGAGGATCAAGAAACATCAGTTCATCTAGCGAGCACAATTACATATTCATTGAAGGGAAGAGCACTGCACGTACCTTCTTTTGTTATTGTAAGTATTAGCCACTAGCACTGAAAGATTATTAAATAACTTGATCTTCTTGCAGGCCCATATATTTGAGGGTAAAGAACCTCCAAAATTTGTTGCACTTTTTCAACATATGGTGGTCCTTAAGGTATTTCTTTTAATTTTTTTTGGAAGGTATAAACTCATTTTTTTTATGTTTCTTTCTGATACAAATATGAAGCTATTGACATATCATGAACTTCCGTGAAGGAAAAAGGCTATGGATCTCATGTTCGATGAGGTCCCCTGTCATGGATTTATCGAACTTATCCAAACCTTTGAATTGCCATCAAATAATATATTAATGGTTAAGGTTGGAAACTGGTTGTGCTTACTGCTTTTCAGCTTCGGAACAGAACGTAAATATAATTAGAAACTGGATTTTGCTATTGCTTTTTTACTATGATATGTTTAGCAAATCACAGCTACTAGTGTCCCTTGTTCTTGATCTGTTGCCTTAGAAGCTCTTTGCTTTAACTGCAGGAGCTGAAGCTTTATCAACACTTTAGTTGTGTCTTGGATGAAAAGAGAGGAAGCTGGCCCAATAAATATCTTCTATTCCTATCTACGTATTCTATTTGTTGAAGTTTACAGCTGGAGTGACATAAATGTTGGTTTGATTCCTTTAATATTTTTTTTGGTTTCGTGATTGTTTTTTTTCTGTTTATATGTGAAGTACTTCTTGTTGCCACCATGGAGTCGAGAGTGCAAGCTCTGCCATGTTCTGTTCGTTTCCCAATGAAAAATGGTTTCTTCTTGATCCTTCTTTTTTTAAAGCGAGTGTAAAGACTCGTTGAAGCTATTTTCTTCTTCTGATTACATTGCGCCTTGTCACCTTTTTCTTACATAGTAGATGGCTGACTTCATTATTTCAACCAAATCTAACATTGAAATCTTTTTTTTTCAGGTATGATTTCTCTCATTTAAATTTTACTACTTGTTTTGGTTTTTTTTATAGTCTAACGCGTGCAGGTTGAATTTTTCTCTGAAGGAATGCATGTTTGCTGCTTGCTGTTTGCTTTAACTTATATTACCAACACGGCCTTAAATTTAGTTTTCCAAATGGTTTTAGTCTTTCTCATTAACTAAAATGTCTGTGAGAGTGAAAGCTCTTCTCTGCTCTACTATATATATGAATTAGTTTTCGAAGAGGTTTAGAAGGTCATCTTATTTCATGCCTTTTTCAGTATTTGGTCTGTATCAATATTGTGATTTGATAGCATGTGGGGTGTGCTAGTAATTGTTTTGGTATCAGTTCTATTTGCTAACAATCTTGCAGTAATTCTTTCACTGGTTTTTAAGCGATTATCTTTGGATGAGTTTCTTTGTTTGATATCTAAGCTGCTTGAATTGGTTAATTTATGTGTTATATCTTTTGGTTATAGGTTGTCGATGATTCTAGATACGTATAGATTTTGATGTTCCAAGATTTCGATTTTCACTTTCCTTCTGTTCTTCAGAGAGTTAATGTTATGTTGGAAGTTCTTTGTGATTAGTTGGCCAAAGTGATTGTATAGATTTGTTGTTTCGGCTCTTGATTATGTGGGTTCACTTCTTTGTGTTAGGTTCTCTTTATTATAGAGTGTTCATGTTTTCACGCTTGCTTTAGGTCGCTTAGGAGGATGGTTTTGTATTAGTTGTTTCTTGAACTCTGTTTAGTTGTTTATGTTCTTTGACTAAACGTTTTCTTAAGTCTAAATCATATGAGAAGGGGGTCTACTTTTAAGTATGGTGCTAGTTAATGTGATTATGTTAGAGAGGGTTTTGGAACGTACTCATTTAATAGCAATTAAATTATGTAGTTTCGTCACATGCCAACTCTGTTTTCAGCACATTTATATAGAATGACGTTAGAGATTATATCTCATTTCTTAAAATGACCAGTAGACTAATTAAAACCGAGGAAGCTATGCATTTATAGAGGAGGATAGATTTGTAGCTACTAGTATCCCATGTTCTTGATATGTTGACTTAGACGCTCTTTGCTTTAACTGAGCCGAGACAGTTCAAATGGAAGCCAAGGGGCTGAAGCTTTATATCTGCATTCAATTCTACACCATCAAAGTCACCTCCAGGAAGACCCGAAGTATTAGTTAGGCATCACAAAGAGGGTAATTTCTTTACCAGTATTGATCTATTGCTGATGAGTGAAAAGGTATACTCCTGTAAGTACAAACCATACAAGACGCATGATATTTGGAAAAACAAAGGTAAAAAAGTAGAATTGCAATTTTACATTTTTTACACTGATGCGTGTGAGACTTTTTTGTGTGTCAAACATCTCAAACTTTGCTATGTAACTTTTCTGTTTATTTCGAGCGATCACCTTGTTTGAGTTTTGGTATTATATGGGGCAACTCTTGCACTGTCTTCAGAAACTTTCTTGATTCATGGGTGTTTTCTTTCTACTGTTTTATTCCTTTTGCATTGGTTACCTTTATTGACTTGTTGAAATTACTTCCTATGCAGATACAGGGGATATCACGTTTTGGTCTCTTTTTTGTGATGGTCCTCAGGTTTTGCCTCTTTTATTTTTCATACCAATATTACTTACTTGGTTTAGGTTGTAGAGTTTCTGAAAGTGAGAAACGCTTGTATACTAGGCTTTGGCTTTGATTTTTGGATTTCATTGGATAATCTGGTTTTAAACTGTACTTTTCTTAAAACATTATGATAGGATTTGGCAACCCGTGGCATCAATCTCATCTTGAGTGAAGTATATTTTAGGTGTGTACAATAATTTACTCTTCTGGATCAGTCCAGCAGTGGGATGTGTTTCATTCTCTCTTGATTTAAAGATTTTGCATACTTTATTCTCGCTGAGGAGGATAAGTCATCTGAGCCTAGTCTTAAATATTGGTACACGTCTCTTCCCTTCTTGTGGCATATGTGGCTTTCTTGATGAAACAAAATGTCTACCTGAGATTTTGAATTCACTATCCATTAGTTCTTGATGATCTGGTTTTAAACTGTACTTTTCTTAAAACATTATGACAGGATTTAGCAACCCGTGGCATCAATCTCATCTTGAGTGAAGTATATTTTAGGTGTGTACAATAATTTACTCTTCTGGATCAGTCCAGCAGTGGGATGTGTTTCATTCTCTCTTGATTTAAAGATTTTGCATACTTTATATTCTCGCTGAGGAGGATAAGTCATCTGAGCCTAGTCTTAAATATTGGTACACGTCTCTTCCCTTCTTGTGGCATATGTGGCTTTCTTGATGAAACAAAATGTCTGCCTGAGATTTTGAATTCACTATCCATTAGTTCATGAACATAGAATACTCATATTGAAACTAAGACATACGTCTGGGTAGTGATATGTTGCTCGTTTCCATTCATTATATAATATGATGCCTCACTGGTATGCTCATCTATCTCCTATGGATGTTAACATATGATCTTGGCAGCTTTGTGTTTTTTTTCCCCTTGATATTGATGAAAACCACATTTGCAGGTTCAAGTGCTTATATATACCTGGCTGGAGAATGGAGATGGGGTGGTGATAACTCCCAATGAACATGTACTCTTTGAAGATATCCTATGTCTAATATTCTACATGATTAAACCAGAGGCAAGAGTTCTTTCGAATAATAATATGGTCTTTTCATATTCCGGGCTGTTTTTTTTTTTTGCTTTCTTATTTGAAACATCAATTGTTGAATGACTCTTTCAGAAGGAGAACTGCATCACACTCCAGGATCTGAAAGCATCTAAACTTTCTGGAAATGTTTTCAAAGTATATGCTTGAACCTGAACAAATTCATGGCATTTGAAACTCGTGACCCTTTTCTCATTCGCCAAGTAAGTCTAGATTTTCTATAGAGTTTCCCTCCATTTGGTTATTCCATACTTGGTTTAATAGCTTTTGAAACTTATTACATACTACTGAATATTTATTTTTTTGCAACATGAGCTGAAATTTATTTGACAACAAGAAGGAGTACTTTGACATGAGTCAGTTGGTTCACCCATTCAAATAAGTTCCTTGAATCGTTTTTACTGAATTGGTTTGTGTTCCTTTCACCTTTATCACTTCTCTAATGTTCATTATTGTTTCTTTTAACAGGTTTTCGGTATCTGATTGATCAATACTTGCCGTGTCTTGGAGTTGGCCGAATATTTGCTATCCTATATCAAATAATCGACATGATTAAACCAGAGTCAAGAGTTCTTTCAAATCATAACATGGTCTTTTCATATCCCTGGCTGTTATGGTTTTTTTTTGTCCTTATTCGAAACATAAATTTGTTGAATGACTCTTTCAGAAGGAGAACTGCATCTCACTACAGGATCTGAAAGCATCTAAACTTTCTGGAAATGTTTTAAATAGACTCTTCAACCTGAAAAAATTCATGGCGTCTGAAACTTATTCATTCGCCAGGTAAGTGTAGCATTTCTGTAGAGTTTTCCTCCCTTTGGATATTCAATACTTGGTTTTTAATAGCTGTTGAAACTTATTACTACTGTATATATATTTGGTTGCAACATGAGCTGAAATTCATTTGACAACAAGAAGGAGTATTTTGTCATGAGTCAGTTGGTTCACACATTCAAATAAGTTCCTTGAATCCTTTTTACTGAATTAGTTTGTGTTCCTTTCACCTTTATCACATCTCTAAAGTTGTTCTAAAGTTGTTCATTAGGTTTTCTTTATACCTGATTGATCAATAATTTTTTATATCCGAATCAATATTCCTTTGTAATGTTTTCTTTCCTGAGTATACGTGATTGATCAATAATTCTTTATTGGCTTTTATTTCTCTTTTTCACAAACAATTTTACTCGCGTATGTAAGTGTTTGTCTACTTCTTTCTTAAGGATTATGTCATTGATTTTGTTAGCAGGCTCTGAATTTTATTGTATGGCTTTATGTAAATATATTTAAACATGTTGAATTTAGCCACCTGACTTTCTTTTTTTCTCCCAACTTTAGGAGGATCAATAAACAGCAGTTCGTCTAGCGAGCACAATGAAAAATTCGTTGAAGGGAAGACCAGTGCAGGTACCTTATTTTGTTATTGTAAGTAATAGCCACTAGCACTGAAAGATTGTTAAATAACTTGATCTTCTTGCAGGCCCGTATATTTGGGGGTAAAGAACCTCCACAATTTGTTGCAGTTTTTCAACATATGGTGGTCCTTAAGGTTTTTCTTTTGATTGTTATTGATTGTTGCTGCAAGAAAATCTATTCGTAATTAATATAGTTACATTAACTTTTAGGGTGGTCTGAGTTCTGGTTACAAAAATAGAATGACAGAGAAAGGTTCATCAGACAAAACCTACAAGATGGAATCAATTGAAATGGAGGTCACAATAATAGGTAGGCAAGTTTTTGAAATGTTGAAGCGATACTTTTCTACTTTCCTTTCTCTCGTTTAAATTGAAGTGGTACTTTTCTACCTTCCTTTCTCTCGTTTAAATTTCTAACATTACACGATCAAGAATAGGTAGGCAAGTTTTTGAAAAGTCTAAAGTAGAAAAACCTTATTAAACAAAATGTCACTCATACGTATTTTAGTTCTTTCTTGCTAAGTTAGCCTGGGAATACTGTCAGTCAAGAACGCAAAAGAGGGAACAGAGAGCTTATCCTTTTGGTTTTCACTTGCTCTCCTTTTTCTTCAACAGAGGTAACTGAAATTGGGTCATCAATTATGAGTGTGAAAGCATCTCTAATAGGGTCATATTTGTTGTTGAAAAATTTGCATATTATAACTATCTTCTTCTTTTCAATGGGTCTACATGGATTCTTAGGAAAATTTTAGGTGAGAATTTAGAAAAATTATCCAACGTTTTCTTATCAGATTTCAAGATGTGTGCATGTTTTAACATGACCTTGCACAGGTTGAAGAGATTCACAACTTTTGACCTCTTGACGGAAGAAATGCATTTACTCATGCTGAAATTTATCGGGGTTGGTCAATGTGTGGACCCAAAGGAAAAACAAACTGCCTTTGAGATTAGCCAAGTAATATGCTTCATCAGTTTTGCTTCTCATCATAAGTTATTCCTCCTCGTTTTCTATCTTGTTTGCTTTTTGTACAGTTTTGTGCAGGATACATATTTCTGGCTGGTTCCCTGAACGGCTTGTCCCCAAAAGTTCCATTATACGAAATCACAGAGGGAAATGAGCCATGCTTTCTCACCACTTATTTTTCATGGTATTCTACTAAAGCTACTGTAAGGTTTTCTGATCGCAGATATGTTTTGCATAATTAGCATGAGAATGGGGTCTATTTTGAAGTATGGTGCTAGTTAATGTGATTTTGTTAAAGAGGGTTTGAGAACATACTCATTTAAAAGCAATTAAGTTTGTTACACTGTATGCAAATGCCAATTCCGTTTTTCGTTAACTTCGACTTCTTTTTCTCATTAAGTTTAGCTTTGGTATGTTTACTTGTAACATAGGTGCAAGGGAATTCCTTCCAGAAGAAGGCAGCATTATTACTTGGTACACATCACGTTCTAGAGATACTACAAGCATGTGCTTTATGTTTCCTTGCTTTTATGTTCAACAGTAGCAGGTAAGAACAGATGTGACGATGGAAAAACGTTTGTTTACAATTTACCCTTCTGCTGCAGGATCAGTCTAGAAGTGGTAATCAAGGACCAAGGCAAAGGGCTGCTGCCTTGACTTCTGCATATTATTCTTCTTCCGGGAAAGAAGCTCTCCAGTAAATAGTATAAACTCATTTTTATGATGTTTCTTTCTGATACAAATATGAAGCTTATGACATATCATGAACTTTCGTGAAGAAAAAAGGCTATGGGTATCAAGTTAAATGAGGTCCCCTGTCATGGATTTCTCGAACTTATCCAAACCTTTAAACTGCCATCAAATAATATATTAATGGTTAAGGCTGGAAACTGGTTGTGCTTACTGCTTTTCAGCTTCGGAACAGAACGTAAATCTAATTAGAAACTGGATTTTGCTATTGCTTTTTTACTATGACATGTTTAGCAAATCACAACTACTAGTGTCCCGTGTTCTTGATCTGTTGACTTAGAAGCTCTTTGCTTTAACTGCAGGAGCTGAAGCTTTATCAACACTTCTTAATGTTGTGTCTATAATTTTGATGAACCTTTGTGTGTATCAAACGGTCTCACTCTTTATTTGTACCACTCCATCCTCATTTAGTGAATAATATTTATCTGAATTTCGTGGAATGAATTTTTTTGGAGGAAAAATTTTGACCGTATTTTTTTCGCCGGTAAAATTTTGACGGAAATTGTTTTTTTTTTTGCGGGAAATATTGATGGGAATTTTTGTTTGGCGATAAATTTGTTTATTTTTTTTCTATTTTCTTGATTGTTAATTTTAATTGAATTATTAATTTATATTTTTTTGCTAATTAATTAATTTATATTTAAGGTTTAATTAAAGTTTATGGTGCTATTTGTGGAAATTTAGGTTTTGGGTGCTATTCCTGTCCATAAAACTTGATTAAGACCATTTCTCTTTAATATGTTGTATACTACTTGACAATTTTTGTTTCAAAAATTAAATCAACGTGATTCCATATATTTAATATTCTAATATTGGTGGTGTTACCAAAATAATAAAATGAGGATTACCCGTGTTGTAGAGCAAAGTTAATAATATTTTAAATTTTTATTCATGTCAATTCAAAGTTGTCCCATCATATAACACATCCCACGATATAACTCGTCCCATTTTATTTTAAACTCCTAAACATTTAAAATTTATTATATTCAGTAAAACTAAACCGATCAACTTTTAAATTTGGACACTTGTTAAGTTTTATGCTCATTTGGATTCATTTTTGGTCTTATTTATAATATGACTTTGAATTATTGTCTACTAAATATTTTAGCTAATGTGGGATTTGAAGAACATATTTTTATTTTTATTAACTGAGTAATATATCTCCATTTTTTTTAATTCGAATCACAGTACATGCAGAATTTTTTTATAGATTTTATTAACTTTAGTAAATCCTAGTATTTAGGAAATTTTTTAAATTTCTCAAAATAATATTTAAATATATGGTTTGGATATACACTATTAAAATAAAAATAGGGAAATATTCGGATGCATATTCAAAAAACTTTAAATAGTAAATACTTTATTTTGCTAGATTCTGGATAATATTTTGATTCATTGATATTTTTGCTGATCCTGAATCATAGAGTGATGCATCCAAAAAGCAAGATCTAAACTTAAAATCTTATGATTTATGTACTTGCTATTTGATATTTAACTAATTTATCCAATATTGAAAAATTTAAGAGATATCATTACGTGTGACAATTTTGGCCGAGGAATGGGAAAAAGAAATGGATGGCAGATAAAGAATTGCGAGTCCCTAAGCCCTAGAGATGTGCGAATAGATGATAATATGTAAGAAAAAACACAAGCCACTTACTTAGTTACTGGTCCGTGAGAGGACCACAACATCAAGTTGACGATGACAATAAACATACATACTGTGAAAGGACCACAATAACACATCGTATAATTGACTTAACAATGCAAACTTTTCCAAGTAAACATAAACAAGAATTAAAGGTTTACTACAGAAAGAAATAAAGATTAGCAGAAGGGAAGAAACCAAAATCCAAAACACTTATTATAGCTTTTTAATAGGAAGCTACCTAAACATATATCTAAACATTTTGCTGAACTTTGGTGAATTATCCATTCATT